ACGAAAAGCTGGTTTTCGCCTGACAGCTAAGGGATTAAATTTGTATCATCATTATGAAACGTTCATATTAATAATAAATGTTATAAACTGATCACTGAGTTATGAAATATATGTACGCTAAATCTAACTGCGTTTGCTCTCAATCGCCTACATCTCACATATTTATTTATTAACGGTTACAATTTTCGCACAGAAATAATGAATTCAACAATCTCTTCCTATTTGTACATCGAATAAATCACTAACAGTATTAAAGGCCAGTATTATTTCTAAAATTAAACGAAATATAAAATTTTTGTTTTCTATAATTCGCTTGGTATCGAACATAATCAATTTGTACCGTACAAAGTACCGAGTAGACGCGCGCGACGTCGCGCAATGTGTGTCTACTGATTTTTTTTTAAACTAACAGTTCATTGAGACTCCATCCTATAAAATTAAACTCCATTCTATAAAAGGTATATTTTGTATACAATTTAATAAAGAATTTGATCATATTTTTTTCAAATTTTCATAAAGTAGTTTTTTTATGAAGAAATTCAATTGACATTTACATTTAATAATAATAAAAATTATTAACGGTTTAAAAAACTCAGATGATATTATAAAAGCGCTTAATTTTCCTTTTAAACCGTTTTTGGTTCGTCTTTCTACGATGATTCAAATCAGAGATATTTAACTTCAAAGTAGAACGGTGCTCACTTTTGTAAAAACTTCCATGTAAAAAAACTTTAATGAAAAAATTTTTTAGAGACGCATGTGCTCACACGTTATTTAAAATAATGTATATATTACATAACAAAAGTTTCAAACAGTTAAAGAAACCTATTTTATCCAATTTTCTCAGAGATTGCTCAATAATTTCCTTTACCTGATAATCTTCATATAGGAATTTCTCTTGTGCATCAATAGTAGATAACCCTATGATCACAGCAGTATCTTTTCCTCGTAATTGTTTTGGATTAATTCCTGCATCGATAATTGCTTCATAAGAATGTTCCAGTAACATTCTTGTTTCGGGTGCGAGTGTGTGTGCTTGCTCAAAAGATAAACCAAAAAAATCCGCGTCAAATTTTTTTATGTTATTAACACTACCTATACGGGATGGAAGTTCCGCATGCTCTAAAAATATATGTATTTACATGAGGATTTTATGTTCCTTATTTATCTTCTTATATAAAATTTTAATTGAAAAATTAAGGTATATATTGTTGATATATTGGGTATGGGAATAAGTTTCCGCCCTTTTTGAAAAGAAAAAGATGTGTTTATTTAAACAAATCTATATAAGTGAGTTTATTCAAAGTATGCTCCTTCGGAAGCGACAACTTTCTCCCACTTTTCCGGTAATAAACGGATTCCTCGAATGAAAAAATCTGGTTTTTTTGAAGCGATCCATTCATCAAGCCATTTTTTTGATATCTTCATAAGAATTGAATCATTCTCCAGAAAGGGCCGACTGCATGGATCGGAACAAATGGAAATCTGAAGGAGCAATGTCCGGTGAATACGGCGGGTGGGGCAGAATTTCCCACTTTACTCCTTCCATTTCTTGACCGGTTTTGCAACGTGTGACATAGCGTTGTCACGTAGCAGAATCAGCTTATCGTGCCTATTGTCCCATTCCTATTGTTTTTGTTTCAAAGCTTAGTTCAAACAAATCGCTTCGAACGAATATCAACTACTGGGCTCAAAAGCTTGAACACACGCCTTTCAAATACACGTATTGCCGTTTTATCAAACACACAAGCAATGCTACTAACGACATCTCTCTAATGGCCGAAAACTTATTCCCATACCTAATAAAAGTATAATGTATAACAATAAATATGATTTAATTACCTATTTCCCATCGGTTATGATCTTTTACAAGATTAATTTTATTGAATAAATTTTCTCGTAATTGATTCATATTATCCGAATTAGGAAATCTACCAGCAATACCGGAAATAACGATTTCCTCACCGGAAACAATATCGTTCCATGATCTACATGTTTCATTATCACCCATGATTTTTATATACTCGGACAATTTAGAAAAGTGCTATATGAGTTTTATGTACTTTTTTTATCAATTCTGTCGATTATTAAATAGTTTTGATATTTACAATATTACTATAGTATCGTTTCAATTGCAAATAAAAAATAACTGCGCTTTTTATTGAAAATTCTCTCTTTATATAAATGTCATCATCTTTAAAGATATGTTAAGGTTAAATATTAAAATTAAACGATTGTGAAACTTTACATTATTCATATATGAAAATAACTGAATTTAAGATTTCGAAACACATAAAGCATTCCATTTGCATATCTACATTTTTATTAAATTCTGTCTCAGTCTTTTTTATTCTTTTCTCCCTCTTTAACTCTATCTCTTTTTCTTTCTCTTAAATGAGAATGTTTTAAATTACAAAATTATCAGACAGTTAAGTAAAAGATTTAAAATATATACGACATTGAATGTTCGTGACTGACCAGAAAACAATTATTTAACAGTATAGAATTACATTATGGCCATATTTTAATATGATAATTACTTTTGATCTTTTTAGACAATATGTTAATAATATACAATATACAGGGTGGACCATCTGAAGTGATCCAGTCAAATATCTCGAAAACTAGTAGGGATAGAGAAAAATGTTTCGTATGAAAAGTTTAGGGTTACACGGGGGAAGTATGGTACTGACCTTGAAAAATCCTTGGAAGGTCATTTTGAAGGTCATTCAGGGGTCACGATGGTTTTTTTAAATGGAACCCCTAGTTTTTCACCATGGGATGAGAAAGCTGGTTTCAAGCCCTTTACGAAACACTGGTTGTGGTCCACAATCCGCCCACTGGGGTCCGAGTTATGGACCATCAAAGTCATTGATGAACTACTCTTAGCGCTACCCAGGAACAACGACGTGGACGTGGTAGTTCTCTGTTCCCTTCGAGGTGCTTGATTTTTGTGAGTCCCCTTGCCTCTCACATGTGGGGTGCTTGATTTTTGCGACTCTTCAACAGTTTTCGAGAGTCGATACTCATTCATAACTCTGATTGAATCAAATGGAATAATCCAAGAGATTTCCAATAGTAAATCTTAGATAAAACAATAACTTTCTAAAAATAGGAATTTTTTGAAAGATATCTCCTCTGTACGAATACTTGCACTCACAGTAAAAACGTAAAAAGTATTCTGTACTTGTGCTACTATTTATGTGACAAAATCGGTTCTTGTTAAAAGTTTTGTTAACATTTCAAATTAAGAGTGTTAAAATAATATAATTTATAAGTAACAAATAATATAAGATTTAAAAATAATGTAGTTTATTTAATTTTTTAACGTAAATTCTAAGGTAAACAAATGAAAGATGAATATACGTGTTTTTTTAATGTAACATAGGCTGCGTTCAGTAGAGAAAAGTAGCTTCGCGACTGTTGTGAAATTCTTCAATATGATTGGTTTATACGTTTAAATCCATAAAGAATAAAAAACAAGAATTAATCGTGTATTGAAGAATTTTACAACAGTTGCAAAGCTGCTTTCTCTGCTGAACGCAGCCACATTATAGATATAAATTTTATTGAAAAAAAAATGCTTCCACAGTTTGTTTCCGGATTGTGTCAAAGTGATAGTTTTGTGTTAATAAATTTTACGTAATGTTTGTCTTACATTCTATTTACCTAGCGTTCAATTAACACAAAAATTTAAGCGGACTGTTCGTGACATGTAAAGTGTATTAAATTTAATACAAATTGTCCAATTGTGTATGTGTTGCATATTAAACGTAGTTTGCATAACATCGTTGCGAAATAATTCTACATCCTAGGAAATAATTAATCCAGAGCGATATGCGAACAATAATTACTCAAATTACATTCCATGGTAAAGGAGCCCGTGCGTCTTGCAGGCTAGCTTACATACGTACCTATACCTACAGAGTACACATACGTTAGATCGTAATATTACAGCTGGGCCTGTACACACTAAGCTACTAGTTAAGAGTGATGCCGGGTAAAGGGGTGTCGAGGAAGGTTGCCTTTGTTTGGCTGAAGTACGCGCGTTTCACCAGCTCGAAGTGGCAGCAACGCCGGAATGGAAAGAGATAGAGAGACAGAGAGACAAGCGGAAAGGGTGGCTATCTCACGTGTGCGCCTGTAACCAGCCCAAGCACTTTTGAAAACATCTCTCGACTAGCGAAAGAGAAGGATGAAGCGAAGGGCTGAAGGATATGTATATAGACATGCGTGTGTGTGTATGTGTATTACGCATGTGTTGTGTATGAGCGTAATAAGAATACCGCTACGCGACGACAGACAGTCGGTGGCATGATGTGTAGCTCTAACGTTTTATTTATCAACGCTGATGACTTTGCCGTCCGCGTTTTCGCCGAGGGTCGCAATTCTTCTTTTCTCGGAGTAGAAGCTAAAAGAAGCTTCGTAACTTTCCTCCGCTGCACGCTCGTCGACACAATCGAGACCGTATCTGCATTCACGTTCCTGCATGGCATTCTCCGTTTACCTCGCTACATCCGAGGCTACATCGATACTACTCATTAGCGATTCCTTGAATATCTGGCCTGCAAAATATTGAATCATGTTCTTTCTTATATTAATACGTCACGGTTATGTCGTGTTCGCCTTCTTTTGTGAAATATTGACTTTGACCGTAAAGGTGGTCTAGAGAGAGAGAGAGAGAGAGAGAGAGAGAGAGAGAGAGAGAGAGAGAGAGAGAGAGAGAGATAAATTACACGTGTAGCGATGGAAAAAGTTGGACAATAAGCGACCCTATCGAAATAATGAGAAATTCTATACAATGCGTCATTTCTATTTCATCCCATACTTCTATCCTGATATAAATTACGTAAACGCAGTCATGACATTATTATTAATAATACATAAAATATTTTAAAAAGTGTAATTAAGATTTTTATTCATATACTACTACTATTTCAGATTGTGACGTCAAAAGCAAGAAATTGTACTTGCAAAATATATTAATATAAATATATTTTTCAAGTTAATATCGAAGTATAATTCAATAAAACAGTACTTACAATCGATAAAAACCTATTTGTAAAATATATCATTCTTTTATTTTGATAATTATTAAGTAATCATATATTTAGAAATTAATTATACGTAACCAAAACCGAAATGAGCTATATTCATAGTTATATAACCAATTATTAAATTAATAATACCGCTCCTTTACTTTAAAAGTAACACAATTTAAAAAATGAAATCTTTTAAGAAAAGAGAAAATACTATTTGACAACTTGACAGAAAATTATTGACTAATTAAATAATATTGGTAAAAATAATATATTTTTAATCTAACCAAATGTCATTTTTTAACAACCCTAAAAACCATTCTTTTTGAGTTGTAACAATTTTAATGATTTTTTATAAAGATAAATTAGTTTATTTTTTGTAATTGATAGGGTAATATTTATTTAATTCATTCATAGTAGCAACCCGAAAATCAAATTTTTTAAAATTATGTTACTTTTAATGTAACAAGCGATATAGAAGTAAATATGATTTAATTTATTTCAAAAACAAGGAAAAATAATTTTTGGTATATTTTATAAAGTTATTCTATCGACTGCAAATGTTATTTTATTGACAATATTTCTATTCAAATACAATTTGCAAGAATCTGTATTATAATTTTCTCGCTTCTAATCATAATTTGAAATAATAATGGTGAGTAAAATAAGACCCTTAAAAGTTTGAAACACAATTTCGAAATCTAGTCTGAACATTGGCAGAAATCAAAGTGCAACGCTGCAATATTATTATTATTATTATTATTATCGTTCTATAAACTTGTCTAGTTACCTGATGGATAGTAAACGTGTTCTTGTATCGGCGTTCTTCGGGGATCCCGTTCCGGCTGGTTCCGGCTGGTTCCAGCAGCACCACATGGGAGTTGCAATCATTCGCTGACATTTCCCACTTTCCCAGTGTACCCATCTATCCACCTAGCTACCGCGGCACCGGCTGAAAAATATCGTCAAGACGGCGTTGAAATATTACAGCGTGTCACACCGCAAGAATTGCCGCGCCGTCGACGGTAATCTACCGCTGTCTTCGTGCGCGAACGACGATTCGTATTGCTCGCAGGAAGGAAACACTAGCACCGGGCGGTGACATTAAACTCTAGGGCAGGTGGAATTCCGTTTCGGAATATAGCGGCCATTATCGATGAATATCTGAGCACTGCATTAAATCAATCACGCTGGATATGATGTATGTTCGTTTCCAGTCGCGTACATAACGATAGAATCTTTCTTATCCTTATCGACTAATTTCTGCTTATTGCATTTCTTTTGTGCGCTACAAGTCACTTTGGAGACGATTTCTTATTGAATATTGATTTAAAAATTCTCAATTGTTACAATTTCGTCTTGGTATATCGTGGCGATCAAGATTTAATTTCTGTCATACAGCAACTTATATAATACAGACATCATTCCAACAATATTAGAGTAATATTATAATACTTTAGAAATATTATAATAACATTTTGTAACGTTGCAGCATTGTTGCTGCAAGCTTCTATGCTATATGGGAAAACGAGCGTGAAATTGCGCGTATTACTCAAATAATGATTGCTTGATTAAATCTTCAGCGTGTGGAAACGACGCTTAATGTTACTATCATTTGCCGCACAGTTGTGATTCTTGGCAATGAGCCAATGGACGCACATGGGACATTACACTCGCGTTGTCGTAGATTTATCACTCTAACTGACGTTGTATCTCAACAAGAGAGTCTCGGCATTAAATCAAATCATCAATTAATCTACTGATACTCGTACTCACTATTTAAATAATTTAAATAATTTAAATTCGCTCCATCACATCTATTTTATCTTTATCTAAGATTTAAATTATAGTTCTCTTCATTTATAGAAAAGATATTTCTGAAACAATTTGTGTTGTCTGTAAAAAGATTTAAATATGTCAGAATTATTAGTTACGATTTAATTAAATAAATATTACTGATAATAATTTAATA